AGTAGTGTATTGTTTAAAAGTAGTGTATTGTTTAAAAGTAGTGTATTGTTTAAAAGTAGTGTATTGTTTAAAAGTAGTGTATTGTTTAAAAGTAGGGATTGCCTTCCTCTAAATAAATAACATCAAATTTACCGTGTTTATTTTATATCAAATATAACTATACGCGAAGTTATTTAATGAATATTTACAAATATTTAGCAGTAACATCTTAAACTCAGTATAACTTTAATATTAAACTTTTTTTAACGTCAACGTCAAAGAATTAAACGTTCGTTCCATATGATGATTTCACCTGCTACGTAATACGCGTAATATCTTAAGTAATATTATAAAAAAGGCAAACGAACTGTATATTTACACGTGCCTGGTAAGGTTAGGAAAAAAAATTTTTTTTTTCTATTGTTTATGTCATAAGGGGTATATTATGGCGCAGTGTGTCGATTTTAATCGAATTTTTTTAAATAAAATGCTAGGACTACGGTCCGGGACTTGTTCGGTCCCCCTGGATTTTTCACGAGTCATTGCAATTGATATACGTCATTTTATTGTAGTTTTGAAATATACACACATAGTACAAATATGTGCGGAGAATAACCACCCTGTCACTTATAAATACGAAAAAAAATTATTTATAAAAATTTTTTTTGTACCTCGGATCCTTACGATTCTTGTACCATAACAAACATGTCTTCTCAAATCATTGAAAAATATTAATATTCGGCGGCAGGATATCTCTGATTCCTGGGCTGACCCGGCTTTATGAAGAGATAAGAATACTAGATTAAACGAGCAGGTGTTTTTTTTTATATTCCTCTAAAACGGTGCTCGGTTTCTTTTTTGTTTTTATCAAAAATTTTGCTAAGAACCACTTTTTTTATTTCGCAAAGTCAGGGGAACCACCACTCAAGGCACTACCACGCAAGGAACCACCACTCAAGGCACTACCACCCAAGGTACTACCACTCAAGGCACTACCACGCACGGAACCACCACTCAAGGCATTACCACGCAAGGAACCATCACCCAAGGCACTACCACGCACGGAACCACCACTCAAGGTACTACCACGCACGGAACCACCACTCAAGGTACTACCACGCACGGAACCACCACCCAAGGTACTACCACTCAAGGCACTACCACGCACGGAAACCACTCAAGGTACTACCACCACCCAAGGAACTACCACTCAGGGCACTACTACGCACGGAACCACTACCCAAGGCACTACCACCACCCAAGGTACTACCACTCAAAGCACTACCACCATCCAAGGAACTACCACTCAAGGCACTCCAAAGTTCTCTATTCAGGTGCCCTAACTTTGTCGTTGATAGAGGTCTGCCGATTCCGGAGACGAAATCGGCTGTCTCTTCTTTTTGGGGAATGCCGTTTGTCAACTGATTTCTCTATACTATAGGGTTCGTCCTAAATCATTTTGACTATAATATGCTCCTCTATCACCAAATAAAAATTACACACTATTAACTAAGCATTTTTTTTTTTTTTAAAAGGAAACGTTATGCAAAAGTTTTCGAGACTTATTGGGATAGTATAATAAAGTGTCAAATAGTAAGTAAAATCACTTATTCTGCATTTATATATCAGCCTTAATATTATTCTTAATTATTCTTCTGAAATTAGAAAAAGGATATCTTAGACCATGAAGTAGAAATATCGCGCCTTTAGCGCGAAATTTATGAAATCCGAGAAAATGCAAAAATGCAAAATCCTAATAACCAGGGAGCTATGGTTAATGAAGGTCCTGAAGATTACGACATTCTATTGTTTGACGATGGTATTAATGATGACGATAACAATGTCGCAACAACACCAGCAGTAGCCACAACACCAGCAGTAGCCACAACACCAGCAGTATCCACAACACCAGCAGTATCCACAACACCAGCAGTATCCACAACACCAACACCGACTCCCTGACATCACAGCTTGAGCAATTAAGAAAAGATTATGATCTCGTCTGCCAACAGCGGGAGGAATTGTTAACCAAGACTCATATGTTGTCATCGCAGCTGACACAGTTGAAAGAGGAACTGTATGTGTTAAACCGCAAACAATTCGAATTGTCATCTCAGCATGAACAATCGAATTCGCGATGTGATGAAATCTTGAAGAAAATGTTGCGCTAATGTCGCAGCTTGAACAGCTACAAGTGAATTACGATCGAGTGGCGAAAGAAAGGGACGATTTCGCAGGCCAGGTTTCCACACTTTCATCCCAAGTAACATGACTTCAAGGTGAATTAAATCAACCGTGATGAGTCTATCAACAACAATAACACCTTGACTTCTCAGAGAGATTGCAAGCGGAATTAGATCAAATTGCTCTAAATCGTGATGGTGTCAATCAAGAATAGTGAGCTCATCTCTCAACTCGGTCATGTTCAGGATGAGTTGAATAATGTGATCAACCAGCAAAGGAAGAGGTGAAGTCGTTAACTGGCGATCTTACCAAGGAAATAAGTCGATTGAGCGAACATTGCCGTACGCTTAATGAACAAAACGATGCTTTACAGCGGCAAAATCATAATATCTCTGCAGAACTTGAGCGATTGAAAAACCAATCAGGCGCAGTAAAGAAGCATTGGAGGTGAACAAGGATATTCTCGAGTCACAAGAAGGAACTTTATCAATCCAACTAAACGACGAATCTTACGCAATTATTCAACAAAGCGGCGAAACGGGGAACGCTAACCTAAGATTACGAGAACACCAAGATTCTATTACGTGTGTAAAAGATGAATCGAAAAATCGGATGGCCATCATAATTTCATAAAATGAGCAACTAAGAATAGAAAACAAAAATCTAAGACGCCAACAAGAGATTGGACAGATTCAGGAGGAACTCGAAGATGTTAAGATACAGCGATCGGAGATACGCAATGACCAAGGACGTAAAGTATATGAAGTGGACGCGCCCCGAAGAATGAATATAAAACCACAAGCAATGCAACAATATCTGCCGAGTCAATCGCAAAACTTTGTTGATTCTTAAGAACCATCACAGATTCCGGTATATCGATACTCTAACAGAAATTTAATAGCGGAAAGTGCATCTCCTGATTCTAACACTACGAACCCCCATGAGACCTTCAACATATATTTGCGCGCAGCCACAACAAGCGGCAGCGCTTAATGTTAGTCGATCGATCTATCCCGAAGAAATCACTAATAGCGTGAATGCGAATCGACAAGCCTCGCCACCACCATCACAACAAGGCTATTTACCCAGTAGTAGCAACATCATCATCACCGCCTACGGTAGCAACAACGTCATCACCAGTAGTAACACCATCCCCATCACCTCCTGTAGTAGTAACAACACCAGTAGTAGCAACATCATCATCATCACCTGCAGTAGCAACGACGTCGTCACCAGTAGCAGCAATAACAACAAATCATAATAGTAACGACAATACAATAATAACATCATCGCCAGTAGCAACATCAACAATAACAACAAAATCGTAAATTTTACTACGTGACGATCACGATTCCCATCACGTGAAAAAATAAATTTCGGAAATTTCACTCCAAATGCG